GTGCAACTGACGGATTACATTGTCATTTGTTTTGAAAACTACTACAAGCAACGAATACTAGACTTACTCTACATCTAAAGCTGTTGCTACTAAATACTTACCCATTTCTTCCGACAGTAAAATGACAATTACTTATGTCAACATGGAAACGCTTGAATTTCARCTAATAAATTCARAAAGTATTTATKTTATTGATAYGCAGGCTTGTAAATGTACCTGTCCAGTGGGATTCAACRGGAAACACTGCAAGKATYAAGGAWTAGTCTYAAAACAGTACAATTTTCTTACAGCATGTAACACTTTGTCAAATGCTATGAAACATGAACTTTTTTTAGTAGCCTGCAGAAAATCTGCAAACAAAAATATATTCAAGTCGCTGTTAATCACCTCCGATAGCGSAGRAGAARMARGTATGMAACTAGATCCAARAAACAACACACATACCTCAGAAGGAATTACGGAAATTAGTAGTAYTGATGWCCCAAAACTCCTGAATAATGGACCAATGCATGATGTTGWTGACATAAAAAAAGATACTTAGCACATTGTGAAGCAATGGTAAAATATTTAGAAGAAGAWCCAGAGAACTTTGCACCAGCTATCCATAAATATTTGRAAAATTMWAAAMAATRTGTGAATTYGAAAACCACACTAATAAGTRGTTTATGCACTGCCTTTAAATRGAAAGGTATGYCAGCAAAAAACCGTTCCAAGAACAAATGTCGTCGGCGTGGGAAATGCATTGCAATCCAACCGACGTCATTCGCTCGTCGTCGATGTGGGATTAAAAGGTCTGGTAGTGTTGGCAGGGCATCAAGAGGTCCTAAAAAAAAATACCAAATCTCCACATTGCTTGAAAACATGTSTGGCGAAAAATGTGRCTTTAGGCATCAWTAAGTCGAAAAAATAAAGCAGCAACATCACCATTTTAGTGCAGCATCAAAAGTTGTTTGATATTAATAACTTACGTTTGTTTGGTATTTAATCTCATTTATAGCATTAACTATTTTTTGATTGAATATATTCAGAAAGTTTCCGAAAATACAATTTTTTATTTTATTTTATATTTGGAGCACCACACTGGTGTGAAACCTGAAATTCCAGTTCCAGAAGTTTTTTTGAAGTATCTGAAACAAAGTTTGCTACCCCGCATGCCAATTTGCACTCAATAAATGGGAATATTTTACAAAACATTTTGCATATGTAATATGTAAGATATGATAACGTATTAAAACATATGATATGATAAAATAACATAACATTAAAACAACACAGGGCATGCCTATCGTAAGAGTTATCGCAAAGAAAATGTAAAGGAACAAATGTTCAGTTCGTTTTGTTCTCAGCTTTCATTAACTTGTTATTCTCTCTTAAATAACTGACGCGTTAGTGGGACACTTGGCCTGACACGTCTGGTATATCATGGGGGCCTCACTGAAATATTCAAGGTCAGACCAAGATTTTAATTGCGGTCAGCGCCACCTACTGCTGCTCACAACGCAACTCACTCATAAATGAACTGAACATCCCCGAGAGGGCGGCATGACGACGATTACAGCGTGGGTGCTGATATCAAAAACGCTGATTTGCAGTTTTTGCGAGACGTCTTTCTGGTATCAGAAAAAAGCGTTGTTTCTCTCAAAGTTTTTTGCTTTCTGCGTTTAATAATTTATTAAAACATGAGTTTAAGACCTTGTTGTATGCCTCAGTGCGATGATATATGTTCTAGACGGTAAGTTGCTGCATTACTAGAGTTATTTAAATATTGATTGCTGGCTGGATTTTTCGGATTCAGATTATAACACAATAAAACCACAATATTTTCAGGTGTCGACTTCCTAGAAATGAAAATTTGAGTAGCATTTGGATCAAGCGGGCGGGATGTGAGGATTTAGTGCAAAATTGAAATTTTGCAGTGTTTTTATGTGCTCTAGACATTTCCACGATGTGTGTTGTGTCAGTGTGTCAAGCAAGGGGTAACTGATTTTGGTGCATCTAAGTGAAAAAATAAAAAAGCATGAAAACTCAAAAAGCCTACAGATATTAGATCTGATAGTGATAGATATGCTTTTAAAGGTACGTGAAAAAAAATCCAAAATGAATTATTGGATTGCATACTTGAGGTTTGCCATAAAGAAATAACCAAAGAAATGAAAAAAGCTTCGGTGTTGGCTGTTATTGCTGATGAAGCGACGGATGTGTCTGCAAAAACTCAACTAGTGGTCATTTTAAGATATACACGCGATGATGGAGAACCAGTTGAACGTTTTTGGACATATCTAAATCCTGAAAAATGCTATGCTGAAACTTTATCTGAAACTATTTTAAGTATTATAGACCCATTAATTGGAAATTCTCCTAATAAGTTAATAAAGCAGCAGTTATGAGTGGACAACACGCAGGAGTTCAGGCAAAAATTAAACAAAAATATCCCTTTGCCCATTTTGAACACTGTTATGCCCATCAATTAAGTTTGAGTTTCTCCAAAGCAGCTTCTGCAAACGCTCAAGCAGGTGTCTTTTTTGGAAAGTTGCAAGATATTTCTGAATTTTTCAATAATCCTCCGCAACGTGTAGAAGTACTAAATAAAATTGTATGCTAAAATAAAATACCTCATGGAGTTGCAACTCGTTGGAATTTTAACATTCGTACAATTAATGTTGTTGATTAATGTATTTGAACACAGAGAGTCACTTATTGAGTGTATGGAAGAAATAGTGAAAAATTTTACTCAAGCATCCGTCTGCAGTGCCGCTCCTCCGCGACTCCATTGAACGTACTTTACAAAACCCAGATTTAAGCATACTTGGGTAAAGTTTTACAAATTCGAAATTACTTTCTGACATTCTAGAGAATAGCATCTATGAAATTTTTCAAATTTGAATCAAGTACAAGAAGTAGATTTTCTGTAATTTACTGCCAAAAATGCACGGAAATTCCTATGCTTTTACGGGTGACCGTATAGCCTTAATACGTATTTTTTTTATTCAACGCACATTTTCACGAACCTTAAATATAGCTATTTTCACACTTGGTCATTTTAAAGCCTCTCCAACTATGTGATTTATTATGTGAGCCAAACAGGGCTAATATTTCATTGAGCGTCCGAGTAGCTAGATAGAGCATATGCATTTTAATATTGTTTGCGCCCATCCTTATCTAAAACGCCTTTGTTGCTTGGTTCAGGCTTTACTTTGTAAATCCGTCAGACGGTCCTTAACCACTACCCTTCTGGCGGATCTGAAGCCTGAATCCGTAAAAGCACTCACTCATTCGAACGTTCTAGAACAATAAAGTTTAGTTTATTGCCCTTGCAACGTTTGATTCCAAATCCTATGAAGAAACTTGCAAGTGTCCTAACAAAATTGATACAGTCCACTCCAGTGAAATCAACAGTTCAGCGTAAACGACAACCGACCGCGAATATATGGGTTAAAGGGTTGCAAGCGCGCACACCTATTCAATAATTTTAATGAACGCCTTGCACCGTTACCATCAAATTAATAATAAATAATCCCTTGGCAACCCCACCAGTTGTTTTTCCCACAGAATATCCTCCTAGGGATGAAGTAGCCATGAAGTAGCCTCGATGTTGCCACTCCCGTCCTGGGTGTGTCCCGCTTACCAGTGTTACCGCTCTCGCCGTGGTTGCTCCGTTTTCCCAGGTTGCTTACAATAATCGTTGACAATTTAGCTTAAGCTATAGCTACACAAGCTTCATGTTTTTCATGGGTCATCTTTTTTAAATAAGCTACGCTAGGTAGAGGTACCTGTTGAGTGCTACGGCAATAATGCAGTTTACTTGTGTAGAAACAATTCATCAAGACTGTTTAGCGTTGTTTATTTTTTTAGATACATAGCAATCATGTAACAGAAAAACTGAAATACTATTGCATTTTTTCCAATTTAAAAGATTGCATTTTAACGTGAAATTCTAATAATATTCGACATCATATCCCAACATATTGGTCCTTCGACCCCGGATATTTCGGACTTCGTCATTATTCGTCGGCGGAAACAGACCTTGGGCTCTCAGTTCCAGCACTTATGCTTACGACTTTGGTTTTGCCCCTACAAGCTGCCCTTACTGCAGGACAGTGAAGACTGCAGTTCCCACATCCGTGTTTACATTTATCCAGCATCCAAGGTAAGTTTCACTTGACTTGTATTTTGTATTGAGACAAATTAACAAGCATAGTGTTTCTCCTCATAACCACAAACTTATCTTCTCTATTCATTCATTGAATTTGATTTTAACACCAATTTTGTTAAATAAATCTACACACTTATTTTGACAAATCCTGCTGTCAACAATGACAGATAAAACTAATACTTTAATAGTATAAAAGGCTTTTGGACAGCTTAAAAACACATTACAAGTCACATTATCTGACTTCGGTTTCATACTACGAAAATGGGTTTCCAATGTTGATTTAGGCAACGGAGAAAGTTTTTCGGCTTGCATTTCTTGAGACAACTGTACAATCAACAAGATTCTTGGCCTTTTATAACATCCTAAGCATGACATTTTACTATTTGACATCATTTCAGACATTGGTAAGGGTTACTAAACGTTATATTCTATCATCAACTGCACAGATATTTGACCCATTGGGACTTCTTTCTCCTGTTACAATTATGGCTAAGATTATTCTCCAACAATTGTGGAAGCACAAAATTGATTGGGATGAGTCTGTCCCTATGGACAATTAAATCAAATTAAAATTCCCAGGTTGTCACATTGTGGTAATCCTGTACAGATACAATTTCACGGTTTTTCGGAGGCGGCACAGCTTGCTTACGGAGCCTGTATATACATTCGCTCTATCGACAGTTTCGGAAGCATTACCGTATCTTTATTATGTTCCAAAACGCCGGTTGCTCCTTTAAAGCAATTAACGATTCCCAGACTTGAACTTTGTACTGCAGTCTTTTTTTCCAAGCTGATCCAGTCACTTTTAAATTCACACTGCTGTTCGTTTAATACTGTTTTTTATTGTACATCACCACACTTACTGAAAATGTATGTAGCCAATCGCGTATCTCAAATACAATCTCTTTCAGAGCCATCTAATTGGAGATATGTGAATTCTGACAACAATCCTGCCGATTTGCTAACGAAAGGGATTGCTCCTGTTACTCTTTTAAACAATCAACTTTGGTTTAAGGGTCCGTGTTGATTATTTGACTCCGAAGAGTATTGGCCAAACAATCCCAAACCAGACACTGAACTTTTAGAAACCCGTAAAATTTCACAGAATAAATTTCTAAGTGCTACTGTAAAGAACGATCTGTTGGATATTTTAAAACGTAATTCTAATTTAACAAGAGTAATTCGCATTTTCGCATATATCTTGCGATTTAAAAATAAAATTACTAATTTATCTGACCTGACTGGTTCATTAACAAGTTCAGAACTTAACAATTCCCTATTGAAGTTAATCGCTCTTGTTCAAATTGAAGAATTTTCAGATTATGAATTACTGTCTCAGAATAGATTAATTAGTGATAAATCAAAGCTAATACGTTGGGTCAATCAAATCTAATTAATTAGAGTTGGGGGTAGAATTCAAAATTCACTTTACAATTTTGATAAAAAAACATCCTATAATACTGACCGCTAAACACCGTCTTACCAAGTTTATAGTGAAACGCGAACATTTAAAGTTGCTTCACGCTGCTCCTCAGCTCTTACTAGCTTCTTTACGTGAAAGATACTGGCCTATCAAAGGTCGTAACATTTGTAAACGGATTTATCACGAGTGTACCACCTGCTTTAGATTGAATGGAAAATCTATTCAGTATTTAATGGGTTCATTACCTAAAGATCCTAAAATAACACCGTCCGGCCCTTTGTCCGTGAGTGGGGTAGATTACGCTGGTCCATTTTCAATAAAGGACAGAAAAGGAAGAGGTTGTAAGACGATTCTTTCGTCTGTAAGACGAAAGCTTATGTAGCCTTATTTATTTGCTTTGCCACTAAGGCTTTACACTTAGAACTAGTTACCTCTCTTACAACCGACTGCTTCTTAGCAGCTTTGCAAAGGTTTATGTGAAGACGAGGCAAGCGCATCAAAACTTTCTCGGACCAAGGCACTACATTCATTGGTGCAAATAATGAATTGAAATTATTTTTGAATCAAAGTTTCTTTTGCATTGTTGACAGTTTGGCTAATGAAGGTGTTGATTGGAGTTTTATACCACCAGGATCACCTCATTTCGGAGGCTTGTGGGAATCGGGGGTAAAATCTGTAAAATATCACCTCAAACGGGTTATGGGAAACACACTATTTACGTTCGAGGAGTTTCTTACAATACCTTGTCAAGTTGAAGCTTGCCTTAATTCACGCCCACTTTATACAATTTCTAACAATCCCGATGATCCTAATCCATTAACACCGGCCGATTTTTTGATTGGAGAACCATTAAAAACCACACCACAAAGGAATCTACTGGGCACCAATGAACGAATATTGTCAAAGTATTTGCATCTCAAACAAATCGTGCAGCATTTTTGGTCAAGATGGACGAAGTAATACGTATCTCAACTACAGATTCGTGCGAAATGGAAAACCAACTACACCTCATTACTAAAACCTGGGCTTTTGGTACTTGTCAAGGAGAATGGACTTCCGCCATTAAAATGGCGAGTTGGCCGTATTACAAAGTTATTTCACGGTACCGACGGAATTGTCAGGACGACGGAATTGGACGCCATTTTGAAGTCTGCCTCTGGAAGCTATCAACGACCCGTGTCCAAGCTGAGTGTCCTTCCCAACCAGTGACGTATATGTTCTATTTAAACCCTCAAAGGGTTTTAAGCGGGGCGGTATGCTGAGTGCTACGGCAACAATGCAGTTCACTTGTGTACAAACAATTCATCAAGACTGTTTAGTATTGCTTAATGATTCTTGTTAGACATTTTTTTTTAGATACATAGCAACCATGTAACAGAAAAACTGAAATACAATTTCATTTTCTCCAATTTAAAAGATTGCATTTTAACGTGAAATTCTAATAATATTCGACATCCTATCCCAACAGGACCTTAAAATTAGGTTGAAGCACTTTCGTAATACGTGAAAATCCTTCTTTTTTCACAATGTTGGAAGCCAGGACTTCTCGAAATAATATATTTATCTTTATTGACCGAAACTTGTAAAAATGCGACTTCTAAATTGCTTTGTGGAGGTATGTTATTATCCGTACTAGCATCAAAAAAGTTTTTCCTTCCAAGGTGTTTTCTAATTTAGAACAGCTATATAGATGTTGATGGCTGCGACATATCCACCTCAAGTTCTTCTATAGACTTTGTGCAGTGTTTACACTTTTGACAATTCGATTCGATACGAGTTCTTTATTTCGATACCAAGTATTTGTATCGAAGGAACGATTCAATTACCAAAGTACTCGGTATCGAAATGAATAGTATGGAATACCTACTTATATTTACTTGTATTTAATCATCCCTATCCAAGAGGCGACACTTCATGTAAGAGTGTCATATCGCATAGTGGTCTAATTGATCTAGTCGTAAATATGGTACCATATACAATTCAGGCTGGGTCAGTGCGGGTGACGTAACTCACATTTCAGTTCAGAAACTGTCTGTCTGAAACCGAAACTGAAAAAACTCTCGGTGAAGCCGAGAGAGCTCTCTCTAAAACTGGCTTGTGCTGGCCCTAAAATACCCTTTTTGCGTGTCTCCCAGTAGGGGCAGTAGCCTATTTTTTGACTTGGTAGTAGGAGCTCTTCATGGTAGTGGGAGCAATTCATGGTAGGGATTGTTCTCGAAAATTCGCGGCGTACGTGCGTGATACGGGTGCGGTCAAAAACTAATATTAAACTAAAAAGTAAATAACTAGCCGGCTACCGGGGGCCCTCAAAAATGAACATTTACATATTTTTACACATTTTCCGGACAGAATGAATCCTTAGTCGACCTTCAACGAAACCGTTCGTGGAATCCGGTCTGGAATTCAGCACTTGCTACAATCGCAAATATCAAATAACACGCAAATAAATATGCTTCTATTGAGCCCTTGAAAATGAAAATTTGCCTGGCGTTGGTTTTAAATTAACCGCAATGAAAGAAAACTTTAGTACCCTTCGTTACACGATTGACAACACTCTTGACTGTGACAGTGTTTACAGTTTTGATAATGTTATTATTTACGACAATACGATACTTCGATTCGATACGGGTACTTTATTTCGATACCAAGTGTTGGTATCACGAATCGTAAGAAACGTAATCGTAATCGAAACAAAAGTATCGCATAGCTACTTATATTTACTTGTATCGAATCA